CATGTCCCCTGTCAGATCATTGTCTTCGACGAGGAGTGCTTCCAGGGCCGCCGCCATGAGTTCACTTCTGAGTGCTGCAACGTGATGGAGTTCGGCTTCGAGACTGTGCGCTCCCTGAGGGTGGAGAGCGGAGCGTGAGTGAACAGATATATATATATATATATATATAGGCACACAGATAGTTTTACAGTCAAAATGTCCATTAAAGAAAGAAGGTTGCTTTGACAGAGATAAAATACGACAGTGACGATTCTTGGCTCCTGTCTCTCCACAGCTGGGTGGGTTATGAGCACGCTTCCTACCAGGGACAGCAGTTTGTCCTGGAGAGGGGAGAGTACCCCCAGTGTGATGCCTTCGGAGGCAGCAATGCCTATCACATTGAGAGGATGACCTCCTTCAGACCTATTGCCTGTGCTGTGAGTCCAACACATTTCCAGGAATGTCAACACTGTGTTTTTGCCCGACAGGAAAAAACCTCACATTCATTGTTTGTTCTTTTTTTTTGTCTCCGTCCTGCAGAACCACAGAGAGTGTCGTATGACTATCTATGAGCGTGAGAACTTCCTGGGCCGTAAGGGCGAGCTTAGTGACGATTATCCCTCCCTCCAGGCCATGGGCTGGTGCAACAATGAAGTTGGCTCTCTCAGGATCCAGTCTGGAGCGTGAGTGTCCCCCCTGCTTCTCTTTTCCTTCCACATTTTTATTATTTCCTACGAGCCACCTATTTTTTTTTTCAACTCCCCAGCAGTTTAAAAATAATCCCAGTTTCACAACTTGTTGCAACATTTCATGTGGACTTCCCTGCCGTTTTGATTTCTCAACAGATTCGTGTGCTACCAGTACCCTGGTTATCGTGGATACCAGTATATCATGGAGTGTGATCGTCACTGTGGGGAGTTCAAACACTTCAGGGAGTTTGGCTCCCACTGCCAGACCCCTCAGATCCAGTCCATCCGCCGTATTCAGCAGTAACAACTTACTCCAGACCCTCTCTCCCATGTGACCCTTCACCCTTGACCTCTGCTGCTCCCCAGTGCTGAATAAACTGTCTTTCTTAAACCTTACTGACTTCCACCAGTGAATCTGCTTATGTCACAGAGTTGTTCTGACGTACAGCCGCTCCTACACATGATGGTCAACATGATGGTGTACAGACGATACCTGGTGTCAGTGTTTCACCAATAAAGGTTGAGATGAAGACAATTTGTCCTGAAGAACTGAGTTCATAGTTTATTATATCACAGCCTAGCTGCCAGTCTGACTAATAGAATACTTGCAAGCAATGCATTTTGTTAAACTGAAGAGCTGATATGACGAGTCGACTGAAACTGAATTTAGATAATCCATTTATCGTTTAATTCAATTAACAGGCAAAGATGACAAACATGATCCGTTCCAGCTTCTTAACATATGAAGCATCTGCTGTGTTTTTCTGAATGAAATCATTGTAAATGAAATGTTTTTTGAGTTCAGGACAGTTGGTGAGACAAGAAAGGACATTTTCCACATCGGGCATTTTTCACAATTTTTTCCAATAGTTAATAGAGAAAATGATCGATAAATTCATAAAAAAAAATAATAAATAGATTAAAGAAAATTAACATTACTTGAAGCTTCAGTTAAAGTACATATACTTTTATTTAACTGCAGCATTTCAACATCTATTTCCTGTTATTTGAAACAAAAAACAAACATAATTGCTTGTGAAACTTTGCCACTGGTAGTATATGTTTACTGGTTGAATAGTTCAAGGTTCTTTATTGTCAAATGAACACTTGAACAATTACAAGAGCAGTTGCTGCCATTAAAAAACTTGGGTCACAGGCTCCCTCCAACAGTGCAACTTAAATATGTATGAAAAACAAGATAAAATGAAATAATAAAAAATAAATAAAATAAAATAATAAAATGACATAATGAAAAATAAATAAAATTAAATAATAAAATTAAATAAAATGAAATAATAACTAAATAAAAAAAATAAAATAAATCAAAATTCAATTAAATAATAAAATAAGGTAAAATCACACAAGAAGAAACGCAAAGAGAAACTACATTTAAAGATACAGATATAAAGTAGTGCAAGTTATAATAGAAAATAACATATGACACTATATTATAAAATAAATGCTGTAAATCAGTCGACTAAAGACACAGAGTCAAAGAAATGTGCTGTGGTAAAGTGTATATGCTTAGCAAGACTGATAATAGATATGTATATAACAGAGGTGCAAACCGTTTAAAGAAAGTTCAGACAAAAAAAGGACATTTATTTCTCATTGTTTCTTCTTCTGCACCTTTTTAAGGTCCTTGTACTTGACTATTTCTACCTCATGGTACCTCGACTCCTTCATTTCAGACAACAACACTGTAGTTCTCACTCCACTATCTGACATTTATTGTTACTTTGAGATTTTACAGACAAAACATTTTATAATAAATGATGCACTGTTATAGACTGAACTTTCCATCAAAGGAGATTAAATCAGATTAATTCGACCGGCTACAACATTAGTGTATTTAATTATGAAAATCCAATAATAAGATGTACAGGGTTGAATTATCAGACAATGGGCCCCTGGATACAGATCAGCAAAAGCCCCGACACACAGACTTTATAGCTGTTTAGCCTCTTTTTGTGTCATTGTTTAGCATCTCTTTTTGGTCATAATGCATCTGTTTGTGATTTTGTGTCTCTTTGTAGTAGTTTTATGTCTATTTGAGGTCATTTTGTGTCTTTTTTGGTCATTTTATGTCTCTTTGTGGTTGTTTTGAGTCTCTCTGTAGTAATTTTGTGTCTCCTTGACATGATTTTGTGTATTTTTCTGGTTGTTTTATGTGTCTTTGAAGTAGTTTTGTGTCTCTTTGAGGTAATTTGTGCCTTTTTTGGTAATTTAATTTTGGTAATAATCGTTTTACATCTCTTTGTGGTTGTTTTATGTCTCTTTGTGGTTGTTTTGTGTCTGTGGTCGTTTTATGTCTGTTTGTGGTTGTTTTGAGTCTCTGTAGTAATTTTGTGTCTCTTTGTGGTTGTTTTACATCTCTTTGTGGTTGTTTTAACTGTACGTCTCTTTGTGGTTGTTTTACATCTCTTTGTGGTTGTTTTAACTGTACGTCTCTTTGTGGTTGTTTTATGTCTCTTTGTGGTTGTTTTGAGTCTCTCTGTAGTAATTTTGTCTCCTTGACATGATTTTGTGTCTTTTTCTGGTTGTTTTATGTGTCTTTGAAGTAGTTTTGTGTCTCTTTGAGGTAATTTGTACCTTTTTTGGTAATTTTGTGTCACTTTGCAGTTGTTTAATGTCTGTCTATAGTAGTCTTGTGTCTATTTGAGGTAATTTAGTGTCTTTTTTTTGGTCATTTTGTGTCTCTGTAGTAATTTCACGTCTCTGACATGATTTTGTGTATTTTTCTGGTTGTTTTATGTGTCTTTGTTGTACTTTTGTGTCTTTTTGAGGTAGTTTTGTGGTTTGTTTTGTTTTGTTTTTTTGGTTGTTTCATGTGTCTTTGTGGTTGTGTTATGTCTCTTGTTCTTGTCTCTCAATGGTTTTGTATCTATTTGCCATAACTTTGTGCCTTTTGTGTGGCATTTTGTGTCTCTTTGCAGTTGTTTTTACTCTTTTCTGTAGTTATTCTGTCCCTTTTGCAGTCCCTATGTATCTCTTTGTGGTCATTTGAGTCTCTCTCTGGTCAGTATGTGTTTATTTGGTGACATTTGAGGGCTAGGGGGTCCTGTTACACCTTAGACCACTGAGCCCATGCTCCTCAGGCCCATCCCGTGATGATATATAGTATAAAACAAACAAAGTCCACTTTACTTTGAAATGAGCGCCTTTAATTTTGATGATTTATGTACAATTTGCTGATATTGTGTCTTTACTTTCACTTATAGGCCAAATTTTTAATGTACTAGTAATATTTCTACATTGTGGTGTTGTTAGCTAACACTGCAACAACTATAGATGATGTTTATTATTAATAATCTGTTTATTATTTTTTCAGTTAATGATTAACTTCCCAGAGTCCAATGTGATACACTGAAATTCCTTTTTTTCTGCAAGCACGAGTCCACACCCAAAGATATTCTGCTTACTATGATAACAATTGTCAATAATAATGTTAATAATAATAATAATGATAATAATGATACGAATAATTTATTCGTAGTAGTAGTGTTTTATTATTAATTAATTAATTTTGGTTGGTTTTGCTTTCAGATATGACTGAAATGATCAATTATCATTACTGATGTCACTTAAATATCTGAATACTTCCTCCAGCACTGCTCTGACATGCTTTTCCTTCACATTCAAGGTGTAAAACACATTAAACACTTGTTCCTACATGGTGTCTCTCGGTGTGTGTGTGTGTGTGTGTGTGTGTGTGTGTAGGCCTGCTGCAGCTGCAGGCCTGTCCTCTGCAGTGTGTCAGGAGCATTACCAGTACTGGCCAGGAAACGGCACTATGTTCCCACCAAACACACAACAACACATCCAGCTCACTGGGGCATCCTCTAGGGAATGATTTACTGGGCTGTATTATTAATTATCAGAAGCTTCGTGAACCTTTAGACTCAAGTGTGGACGAAGCAACTTATTTAATAGTGACACAGAATATGTTAGAGGTGCTGCTGCAGTGAGGTGTGGCTTCAAATTAAAAAAAAAAAAGAAAAATCAAATTTAAATAAATGTTTTTTTTTTTTCAAGAGGTGGGAAATTTCCTGTGTACAGTGGTCGATGCTTTTCCCAGGAAAGGTCGTAAATCACTGACAAAATTGTACAAATCTATAAAAAGAAAATTAAAAAATTGCGGTGATTAATAAATAAATAAATAAAAAAATTATAATAAATAAACAACATAAAATCCAGTTTTTGTGACATGTATAAAAATAGAAAAAAATTAGAAATAAATGTTTTCCTCCCCTCTGGACCCAGACTGTGGTCCGGCTCCAGCCACCGGTGACCCGCTCCGTGTTTTACGAGCCTCTCCCCGCCGCAGTGGGAGGAAGTTGAACCACAAAGCAAGCAGTGCCACTGTGCTAGCAAAAAACACAGAAAAATACACCGAAGAAGAAGGGACTCCAACTTAAAACATGTGCCATATTGGAGCTGGGGAAGGAGCAGCTTAACAGAGACGTAGCGGACAGTATTGGACGCCAAGACGCTCCAGCGGAGGCAGCGGACCGACACTTTGCTACTTAGCCGGAGTGTGGACTCCCCAGCGCGGATAGCCTGGCAGGCAGGAGTCGCTCGGGGCTGGCTCGGCTCCCCTCGTTTTTACTTCAGCTACTGACCTCAGTGTGGTCGATTTACGAGACAAACACCCGCAGCACAGTGCTATATTAGGTGTTAAGCACAACACCTGGTGCTTGAAGGTGTTGTCGTGCCATTTTTAACCAGTTTACAGAGACGAGGAAAAAGTTTACCAAGCTAAACTACCGCCGGAGCCGATTTCCATCTCCCGGCGCTCCCTCCCCCTCCTCCACCACCATCAGCGTCACCTTCAGCCCACCGTCAGTCGCTCTGTGCTGGCTCTCCAGGCGAGGAGGGTCCCCCCAACACTCGGGGTAACTCAACAAGCAAACTATGGATTATATTGTGCGATTTCATCTTTGTTTTTGAAGCCGTTTGGACTCTCGGTGTCATTTTTTCTGGTGCTGGTTGCTCTCGGAAACGCTGCAAGACTTCCCCAAAATAGACTCGCAGCCGTTAGCTTATTAACCAAAGCTGAAACCGAGCCAGTGTTGCTGTTAAATCCGCCAGCTAGTGAGTCTGTTAGCTGCTGGCGACCACGGTGCTTGTTCACACGTACCTGCTGGAGTGAAACAACCCAAACTCAATGTATAAATTGATTAATCAGTCTTATTCGATAGTTAGCCTGCTGGCTAGCTGGTTTCATTTTTTGCTAGCTAGCGTGGTGGCTAACTAGCAGACAAACCCGAAATATCGATAATCCCAGCAGCAGCAGCAGCCGCAGCAGCAGCGGGCTAAAGCAAGTTAGCTTCGTGGATTTGGTGTGTGATTAGTTGAATACACCCTTTATCTTGTTTTAAACCTCTGGTGTTTAATGACATCTTTTCGGGGGACATTTTTTTCGTGATTGACTTAAGGGACAGGAAGCAAGGCAGCAGCAGCAGCAACGACGGCAACATAAACAACCGCGGTGTGTAGACCTTCCTCATCTTCAACCTGTGTGTTTATTTGTGCCAAACTGCATCAGAGAGATTTGCATTTTCTTGGTGCACCAGCTGAGATCTTGAGGAGACACCTTGATGAGACACAACCTGTCGCCTCTTGTATTTATCTGTATCCCCCCCCTTTTTCGCTCCGATTGAGACGAAGACACGTGTCCCTGTTATATTACTGCTTTCCTGAAGACACTGAAGGAGCCAGTCACATTTCCACTGTGCAGCCACTCCACTAAAATTAGACCCTTTTTTTGCTCAACAGCACAGTGTTTACATTTTAAGGAAAAAGCCCTGCAACGCCGCACTGGAGACAAACCAGTCGTTTGGACACATTTCCATCAAGAGGGGACCAGGAGAGTCCCCAGAGACCTGTAGGATTTGACAGCTGTCTCCAGACCCAGCATCTGGTGCATCTACCCATCTCTGTGAGACATATCACGTTACTATAAAGCGAGGAAGGAAGTACAAGATCTTTTCTTTGCATCATTTTCCCCCTGAAGAAACCTGCATTTTTTCCTGCACTAAATGGGATTACAAGGACGGCGCTGACTGTGTATCTCTCGATCAGCCTGTCACCCAATGTCTCCCCTCCTGAATTCCCTTTTTTCTGTCACAATGATGGTAGTTTGAGGCGAAGTCAGCAGAACACAGCCGACAGGAGACAACGACACCATTCCCGTCGATGGTCAGCCCTGCCGTCCGCTCAGCTGGCCCTGTCACGCACCTTGGCGCTTGATGTTGCTCATATCTGGTGGAGGACATTGTTTTTTTAATCCCCTCAAATAAAACAAACCCATCCCCAGCCCGGTTATTTTATTGATTTGCTCGTCCCAGGGTCGAAAGATGGCGGACCTCGAAGCAGTGCTCGCCGATGTCAGTTATTTGATGGCGATGGAGAAGAGCAAATCTACTCCAGCGGCCCGGGCGAGTAAGAAAATCATCCTGCCTGAGCCCAGGTAACCACATTTACAATGAGCTTTCATGTTGTGCTGCTGTGCCCCCCCCCCACCCCCAGCTTGTGTTTGTTTGCCTGTCTAATGGACGAATCTTTTGTGCATGCTATGCAGCCATATAGGGAGATGGAGGCGTGCTTCCTCTCAAACCTGTGACTTACTGTAGATGCTAAATATGACTGGAGAGCTTCTGCAAACATGCTGCAGCTCAGTGGCTTCACGATTTCACCAAAACATCCATGCATTGACTTAAACCCTGTGCCATTTTGCACCTATACTTAACAGTAGTGAAGAGAGTGCTCTGAAAAGCTCATGAGGGAGCTGCACAGGCAGGCTGTGATGCAGCTACGTGCAGAACATGTCATGATATTGTCATTATTTCAAAGTGTTCATGATGTCCTGTTGTTGCCGTCTGTGCCAAACAGTCTTCACTTGATCCCGGACTCAAGATCTGATCACACATATGTTTTATGTAGCATGTGCAGCCCAATTATTGAAGCTGCTGTGTGCGGTGTTGTGGCCCTTTGATGCAGTTGCACTATCAGTATGTGCAGCTCTTGATCTGAAACCCCTGCTCATCCAAGCTGTTTGCAAGAACCCAGCCTGAGTAGGTCATCAGATTTAAACAACAACCCCCCCCCCAACCACCACCAACATCTACACATAATTGCACATCCTTTTGTCCCTGCTGTCGGGCTTGAATGTGTCTCCTCAGACCAGGTTTTAGGCATGTAGCATGCAGGCTGATTGGAGAGGATGTGGTTAAAATTTGGTTATTGAGATAGTTGCTTTCCATACGAGGTTTGTAGTTTTGACAGAGCTGTATGGGTACAGTCAAGTGATCACCGTTGTGTGAACATAAGCTTTGTGCAGAGCACATCTCAGCCGGCAGTTGGCACCGCTGCCAGATTTAATTTGTTTGTCGTGTTTACATTCATCACCTTGTACTTCACTTTTATTAATCACAAACTGACACACCCGCACATGTGTAGTGGCTTTATCTTTCAAAGTGTGCATGTGGGTTAAACAATCATTATATCCAAACCAGGAGTGATTTTTTTTTTTTCTTGGAGGAGGAGGAGGAGGAGGAGGTCAGCTGTTCAGTAACTGACTGACTTGTCTTGGCACATCAGCAGAAGGCAATGATCCAGGCAGTGCTTTACACACATTAATGAATATAATGCATGTTGTTTTTCCAGCTGAAATGATTTAATTAAAGGAGATTCTGTAATAGCTAATTAAATGTGCTGTCCTAGATCAATTGCCATTAATATATTAGAGTTTAGAATGATGTGAAATCATTCGTTGTCGCCTTTATCCAGTCATAAGCAGCAGAAATGCCCTGCTCTCTTGACAGGCTTAAGAAAACAATTTCACCTCCAGTGCATGAGCAAAAAGGCAGCCAGGGTTTGTCATATTGTCAATATTAGCTGACCTGACCTCACTTATAACACAGAAAAAGTCAGAATATTTCAACGTCATCTCCCACTTTCGGATCATTTATCAACCATGCCAGGATCTTTGCATATTTTAGTCCCATTTGCTTCTAACGACATTAGCTTTAACGTTGCTACTAACCATTTGTGAAAGGTCTCTAAGTTGGCAAATGTGGGTTTCCTTCCTTCAGGCGGTTGTTGGTTTCAGTTTGTGTCACTATAGTTTTAAAACGATCCTGCAGAAACGTGAAGTGTGCTTGAGACTGGCAATCCATTACAGTGGAGGTTTCAGTCACATTTAATTGTTGTCAAGTCAAAAATTGGCGTTAGATGTCCTCAGGTTCCTGACCACTGTAGTAAATACGACCACTGCTCTGCCTTCAGCGTAGAGACACGCTAATTCTGACAGGTTGGAAAAAAAGGCCAACAAATTCTAGAAGGATATCTTTTCAGCCTTCTAGTGACAGACTGGGTTTTGAAACATGGGCTCTGGCGCCTGGTCTGTTGTTTCACATGAATCTGCTCTCAAGGAGGACTAGCATGGCCACTGGTGGGCTGTTTTAGTTTCTGAAAGGAATACTCAACTAGAAAACAATGTGTTGAACATCCCACACCTTTTTCAGGCTTGAAACTTTGCTCTAGAAAGTTTGTAGCTTGCAGCACCTTCACACTGGGTTGCAATTGTTGCACGTGACAGATGCAAAGAGGTAACCGTGCTGACGTCAAAAGAAACCTTGTATTTAGTCATTTTTTGCATATGTAATAGTCGCGAGTTTGGTGGGAGCGGTCATGTTGGTGGATCTGTATCCAACACACATGTTCCCTTACATGGAGTTTGGGGTATTACTGTAGCACCACAGTGCTTCATTTATAATGGTGGTGACACATTTGACTTTTGGATATTGCACTTGGCCAAATTGTGATTCTGATATGATTTGGATTAATTGTGCAGCCCTAATATATAATATGCTGCAAAAGTGGGGTTTTAAAAGCTCCTATATCTGAGACAACTTTATTGCGGTGTGAAAATAAGTCACTCTTGGTTTTAATTTAAACTGCTGTGACTACAACTGCCATTACCTGAATGAAGCAAGCTACAAACTTTGACATCTTTCAAGCCTGCTTGGCATCATGCATATTAGAGATGTACCGATACCACTTTATCCTTCACGATACTGATTCAGATTCCTGAACCTTAGGTATCTGCCGATACCGAGTACCGATCTGATACCAGCGCGTAAATAAAAATGGATGGGATATGAATTGTTGTATGTCTCAACTCCTAAAACTCTATGTAAAATATTAATAAATAAATACATAATAGCAGAATGAATGCCATAAAACTTTTTTTCATTATTATTATCCAGTGTTGACACAGATCAAGACACAGGTTAAAGTGCAGCCAAACAATTTGGTAAAAATAGACATTTTAAAGGCTACAGTAGAATGCTTTTTAAACTCCGCTCCGTTTCCGTTTCGTTTGCCTGTAGCGTGCGTATGCGTAATGGCGTGAGGCATTACGTGGTATTGGATTGGTCATAGGCTGTACTCGCCGATACCCGATACCGCATTTTAGGCAGTATCGGAGGCATTTCCGATACTGGTATTGGTGTCGATACAACTCTAATGCATATTAACATATACACAGGTTTTTGGAGGAGTATGCCTTGAAGATGCTTTTACGAAGTTTTAATATGGAACCAATATAGGTAATTTACCATTTAGTGTAGTGTAATACATTTTTACTTTCAGTGTTTAGTCCAACATTGAAAGACCAATTTGCAGACGCAAGGTAGTTTGGAGCCTCTTGGTTCATTTTCATTTTCCAAGGGGTGTTATCAACAGTCATACGCCATATTGCCTCTGGATACAATTAAAAAGACGTACATCCAATCAGAGCAACGAAACATGACGTAGTGCTTAGCAACGGACAAATGTAAACAGACTACAGCGTGCAGAGATGTGTCTGTGAACGAGTGTTGGTGTTTTCGCCATCAGAATTTGTTTTATTAAACACGGCACATATTAGATAAACGGTTGAGATTGGCCCAGGCCATGACAGGTCGGCTGAAAATCGAAACTGAGAAGTCTGAAAAATGATTTGGATATTGACAGGCTGGGTAAACTTTTGTTAAATCGGTTGATTGCAAATGTTCCTTGCCTTTCCTGGACTCCATTTCAGTAATATTGCCATACCCCCAGACTGCATAATTGAAGTTGTTGAGAATAATGTTGTCATACTGATGGAAATGATCGCCAAGGCACAGGTTGTAAAGAAAAATATCTCCCTGAAGTGCAGGAGAATTTGTCTGTTTAATGAGAGGAGAAGTCCTCAGTGTTGCAGTCTGACATATTGGCGGACAAGGACCTGTGAGCAGGGTGAACAGGGTCAGATATGTTAATGTTCAAACCAACCCATCACTTTAGCAAAATGATCAAAAGAAAACCTTCCACCGCTCCACCGTACTCCAACTTCAGGATGTGCATGTGAAATGTAATGGCTTGTAACTCAAATACCTCCAACCTAAAACCTTTTGTTGCCTCAATGAAAGCCTTCAACAGTTGACAGAGGCGCTTTCAAAGGCAGCTGATATTTTAATTAGGGATGTCAGCTTTGCTTAATTTAATCAACAGGTGAATTTTTTAAAAAAAAAAGCAAAATGAGATGAAATACAAAAGGCTTTTCCTTTTAGTCCTCTCCTCAGTGAGCTTTAGCATTGCTTTCGAGGTGCTATCCATTTAGAGGTGGTGAAATTTTAGTGTCTTGTAAATGTTTTGCCTTTTATTTCATTTAATGTTAGCCAGCCATGTTAACACGTGGAAACAGTGCCCACAGCCCACCTTTCAGTCTTCACTGGTTAGCTAACATTAGCCTTGGCACCAGCCGGGCCACGTGGGAGCTAGCTAGTGGCGGCACTCATTCGTCCACCATACGCTGCTGCGGAAATCTTGTGACCACTCTTAGTCTCCCCACAGGTAGCCCCGTTAAGTAAGCAGCTACATTTTTAGCGGCAAACCCCCCTTAGCTTACACTGCTAACGATGCTAACAGAGCTAGCAGTAGGTAACAATTCTAAAGGGGGTTTGCAGCTCAAAATTTAGCCGCTTACTCACCAAGGCAACGTGGGATTACACCCTAGGGTGGGCACAATGTTTCCACAGCAGCACTGCAAGGTTGAGACGGCGTTACAAGTGGTAACCGAATGAATGGCGCTGCTAGCTAGCTCCCACCCAACCTGGCTGGTGCTGGTGCAAAGCAAGGCTAACTAACCAGTGAGGACCGAAGGTTAGGGAAGGAGCCACTATGTTTGCACGAGTTTTGTCTCCCAGTACCAGGCGATTTGGCAGCGGAGTAAGAGTTCAAACATACAAACTGAAGATCTCTACTTGATAGGATTAACAGTAGCCACTCAAAAAGCTACGTTTATTAAATCTATAAATCTGTATTAAATTCTGCTGTCGAGGTGCTTCTAAAAATGAAACGGAGACCCAGGTGACAGCAGATTCAGGCTGTGTGTCATCATCTTGTTCCCCAGTAAAACTTCAGGCCATGCTAATTGAGATTGCT